AACCCAAAAAGGACATAAGCATAAGGCATTTTATAGGGATATCCCTACCATATTGGGCTTCATTATAAGGGGATTTATATGGGATGTCCCCATCCTAATCTTTGCCCTAAACCCTAAACCCTAAACCCTAAACCCTAAACCCTAAACCCTAAACCCCTAAACCCTAAACCCTAAACCCTAAACCCTAAACCCCTAAACCCCTAAACCTTATGTGCTTTTTTGGGGGGCCCCAGAAGGGCTCCTTCAAGGGCTCGACTAGAGGCTTCCATCAGAGGGTTCTTTTAAGGGGCTTTAGGGTTTAGGGTTTAGGGTTTAGGGTTTAGGGTTTGTTTTTTTTAAGGGTTTCTAGGGCTTCGAGTTCAGGTTTTGGGCTTGGGTGTTTAGGATTTGGGTGTACCTTAACCTACCAAAACCCATTTTTTGTAGGTCCCTATTATAAACCCTATTATGGGAGTTATAGGGACCCTACAAAAAAGTAGGTTTTGGGTTCTTAAGGTAGGGTCTAGGGTTTAAGGTTATAGGCCTCAGGGCCTGGGGATTTAGAGCCAAGGTCTAGGGTCTATAGCGTTCAGAATTCAGGATTTTGGCTTTGGGGCTTTGGGGCTTAGGGTTTACCGTTTAGGGTGGGGTTTTGGCTTTGGGGTTTTGGGTTTAGGGTTTAGGGTGGGGTTTTGAACGTTGCGCGTAGCGTGTTACAAGGCCACATACCGAAGTGGTATATACTTTTGAGCGGAATCCTATCTTCTAGGGTTATCTTACTGTGATGTCCTCATATTTGGAGTTCTTTAGATCGTTGTTATAACGGGCTTTAATGGTTAGAACATTCAGGAACCCCGTGTTAGGTTTTCTGGAGTATATGCTACCGTAAACAGTGATATCTGATAGACCCCTGTATGATGCTGGTTTGGCCACAGGCAAGCCCTGTATCTAAGAATCATGTATTAAACCCTGAGCCATATACCCTAAGCCCTAATCACATCCCTAACGGTTCCTGTATATTTACCTTGGCCCGAAAGTATCTATGGACTACTTTAAGGTCAAAGAATAAACTAGATACATGGACCCTTAGGGATAATAGATCTCCTAAATCCTAAAGTGTTAACCTTGTGCCTAATGATCTGGTCCTTTGGACCCTTATGGGACGTCGAAGGCCTCGCGTGAGCGTTTTAGGGTCGAGGTCTTGGGGCGGTGCAACATGCATGGGATCCTCGAGAGTTTACGCTTTACGATGTAGTGTTTAGGGCTTATAGCCCTTAGAGCGTGGCATTTCGGTGGTTCGAGGGAGGAGGCTGCTAGATCCTTGAGAGACTTGGGGATCACTATAGAGGTGATAAACCTCCCTCGGACCCCTGTCGTTTAAGGGTTGCATAGACCTATAGAAGGGGTCCTGAGCCATCCACGAGCCACTACCATGTTGAACCTCGAACCATGTGAAACCTAGAGTTCAGTGCGAAGGATTCAACGTTTAAGTTTTAGGGCTCGCTCTATAAACTTGGTCTCAGATCTCTGTGAACTTGGGTTCTTGGACTGTAGAGTTCTACAGTTCGGGCTCAAGGTTGGGAATTTCGGGTGTATGGGGTTAGGGCGTACAATCTGAGTCTATATACCCTAAACCCGAAACCCTAAACCCTAAACCCTAAACCGTACTGCCCGCCTCCCGTGGGAAGGTACCGCAACCGGAAGCCCTGGGACAGCACACTGGACATGCCCCGTTTCGATGGCCAGCAGATGCTGAAGGCCCTTTAGGGTTTAGGGTTTAGGGTTACCAAACCGGGTTTAGGGTTGAGGGTTGAGGGTTGAGTTAACAAAGGGGTCTTGAATGTGTTGAATAAAATTTGGGGTATAGTACCAAATTCGCTGGAACCAACTCGAGACAACGATCTTGGTGATTTTATATATATATATATATATTCCTAAACCCTAAACCCTAAACCCTAAACCCTAAACCCCTAAAACCCTAAACCCCTAAACCCTAAACCCTAAACCCTAAACCCCTAAAGCCCTAGACCCCTAAACCGCTAAACCCTATTGTACCATGCCGCAAGGGCCAGGACCACAGCCACAGCAACGTCATGCGCTTGCCCTGCCCTTTTGCCAGGACGAAAGCATGCAGATCGAGTTCCTTGAGAGGACGGTTTGGGGTTTAGGGTTTAGGGTTCCCTAAACCCTAAGTTTAGGGTTTAGGGTTTAGGGTTTAGGGTTTATTAGGGTTTAGGGAACCCTAAACCCTAAACCGCATTCACACATATGGCTTCGTGGAAATTGTAAAGCAGGTTGCGCTGTGTACTCCTGAACATGGTAATGATCGTGGCACAGATAGCTATGCCATGAACATCTTTCGTTCTCATCGGTTCGGCATGCCTTCATGCTCTCCGGACAACCCAGAGATATATTCTCACCATGAATAATCCGAAACCCTCAAACCCTAAAACCCTTAGCCAAACGTGCTCATAACCATGAAGGATCTGTGGCAACCTGCACAAGCCTCTGGAATCCTGAAGAGCTTGTTCTGAGTTCCCTTTGTTTGAAAAGCCCGCGATCCTCCAATATAAGGGTTTAGGGTTTAGGGTTTAGGGATAAACCTTGTTGACCAACAGAGGAACTGCAATGAAGAATGAATGCTACAGCCTGCTATAGCTGTTATAGGTGTGTTGAAGTCCTGCTCTAGGAATGAAAACAAACATGCTACATGCCCCATACCCTAGACCCTAAGCCCATCTAAACCTTAAGTAGTCTAAACTCTACATCCAAAATCCGAAGCCTTAAAGCCTGCAACCAAAACCCTAAGCCCTAAACCCCTAAGCCCTAAGCCCTAAACCCTAAACCCCGAAACCAAAACCTGAAGCCCTAAACCCCGAAGCCCTGAGCCCTAAACCCTAAACCCGAAGCCAAAACCCGAAGCCCTAGACTAGACCTCTAAGCCCTAAACCTTGAAACCAAAACCTTAAGCCCTAAACCCTAAACCCTGAAACCAAAACCTCAAGCCCTAAATCCTGAAACCAAAGCCTTAAACCCTAAACCCCTAAACCCTAAACCCGAAGCCCTAAACCCCGAAGCCCGAAATCCTGAAACCAAAACCTTAAACCCTAAACCCTTAACCCTTAACCCTAAACCTTAAATCCTAAACCCCTAAACCCTAAATCCTAAACCCCGAAAGCCCTAAACCCCGAAGCCCTAAACGTTAAAACCCCGAAGCCCTAAACCCTAAACCCCCTAAATCCTAAACCCTAAACCCTAAACACCCTAAACCCCGAAGCCCTAAACCCTAAACCCTAAACCCCGAAGCCCTCTGTCGCCGGAATGCGGAGACTTCCTTCGTGGAAGGCTTGGGATCCGCGAGCTACTTGGGCGCCGCCGTCGGAGAGGTC